TTAATTGTTCTCACTTTCAGGAAATTTCTCCTAATTTCCATCCATGGCTTCTTGTCCCGCCTTCAGGTGCTTTGGAGAATAACCGTCTCTTCCTTGTGGCAGCCCCTAAAATATTGGAACCCTGTTATGATGTCAGATCCTTTTTCTTTCTTCTTAATCCAAAAAAGAGAGGATTGGATAATCTTTGTTCTTAGGCTAGTGCTTAGTTTGCGTTTTCTTGAAAAGTTGGGCAGAATCTCTACAAATCGACATTTTTCTTGTCTTCCTTGAAGAGATAGTGATGTGGCAGCTGTTGTTGGATGTTTTACAAAGGACAAGTTTTGTGGCAGTTTTAAGGCTGGTCTTGTTATCAGATATCAGAAAAAGCTGATGGCCAGAAGGCTGCCTTCCATAATTGTAAATATCTTTTGAAAGGCCTACCCAAGGCAGCCCTTTCAAAGCTAAGATTTTGTAACTCTATGAATCTCACAAGGAAATACCGTCCTCTCTTCTCTTTTCTTCCACCAGCAGGAAAGCAACTGTCACCAAAGATTTTCCTGCAACTCAACTATCAACAGACAATAGAAAATCCGCTCAAGACAGCAGCCGCCATAAAGCATGGAACGCAGAAAACTCTTGGATCCCCCGTCACACACAAGCAGCACTCTGAAAAACCACAAAAAACCTCATGGATGCTCAGAGTGTGAAAAATCCTTTACTCGCAAGTCCCTCCTTTTGACCCACAGGAAGGTCCATGTGGGAAGTGGATCCAGTAAAGATCTTGAGAGTGAGAAATCCTTCCCTGGAAAAAACTCCAAAGATCTCGGAAGCCCCCCCAGACTAAAACCCCATAAATGTGTAGAATGTGATTTATGTTTTGATCAAAAGTCACACCTTCGTACACATCAGAAAATCCACACTGGAGAGAAACCTTATGAATGTCTGGAATGTGGGACATTTTTCCGACAAAAAGGCACTCTCAGAAACCATGAGAGGATCCACACAGAGGAGAAACCTTACAAGTGTTGGGAATGTGGGAGGGGTTTTATTCAGAACTCAAGTCTTTGGATCCATGAGAAGGTTCATGCAGGAATAAAATCTTACAAATGCTTTGAGTGTGGAAAATGTTTCACGCAGAGTTCATCTCTTCGGAGTCATCAGAAAAGGCACAGAGGGGAGAAAAACGAAAAGTGCCTCGAATGTGGGAAATGTTTTCCCACAAAATCATCCCTGCTGCGACATCAGAAACTCCACACTGGAGAGAGACCCTATGAATGCCCAGAGTGTGAGAAAAGATTTATCTCTTCTTATGAACTTCAAACACACCAAAAGAGGCACAAAGAGGAGAAACCCTATAACTGTGGGGAGTGTGGAAAAAGTTTTATTTGGCGAAGAGAGTTTCAGATTCATCAGAGAATCCACACGGGGGAGAAGCCCTACAAATGTGAGGAGTGTGGGAAATGCTTTTCCCAAAAACAGCACCTTGGAATCCATCAGAGGCTCCACACAGGAGAGAAGCCCTACAAATGCGAGGAATGTGGAAAATGCTTTAGACAAAAGGGAGTCCTTTGCCGTCATCATAAAACCCACACTGGGGAAAAGGCACATCAATGCAACGAATGTGGACAATTCTATCGTACCACACCAGCCCTTAGAAGTCATATGAAAATTCACACAGGAGAAAAAAACTAC